TTTGGCTCTGAATAACAATGGCTTGATTTAGATTTCCTAGTAAATCTATTCAAAAGTGAAACAAAGACAGCCTTTAGACGATACCTTACACCTCACCTGGACCAGGCACATAAGGGCAATTCAGATAAAAATCTTGTTAGTAATTCAACAAGAAATAGAGGATTTTCTCTTTTCCCTGCTTCAGGCTTTATTTAAACTCTTTGTTCAAAAATGAACAGAGTGGTAGTCGGAATCTAATTTACAGATATAGTTTAGACGTCTAACTTTAAATTAGAAGATCACACAAGAAAACCATTTACACGTAAATGTTAAAACAAATACTTAATTTTTTCTTTTTTTTTTACTTTATATTACATAAAGCCAAAAAGAAACTAAATACATGTTAGCCAGCTTCATTCACAAACATTAGTCAAAATATACACATTACAAAAGTAAACAAACAAACAAAAAACCTCTAAACTGATGAAGGATTTCCTTTTTTTTCTCTAATTTTTTTTTTTCCCTTTAATCGCCATTTGCAATTGAATTGCAGTCACTCTAAAATAAGCTAAACAGGTAGGGTACTCCAAAACACATGTGAAACACTTCATGTCGGCGGGGGTGACGGCTTTTTCTTTTAAATGAGAATACTCTTCTGCCAAAGCAAAGCTCTGTTTCAGTTCAGCTAAATAATAAATAGATAATTATCACTCAGACAAAAAAGTCTGATTTAACCTTAGATAATATTGCGGTCCCCGAGCGGTCCCGCAATATTTTTATTCCCTTTGAAAGGCATTCTTTTTTTTTTTTTCTTTTTTTTTTTTCAGGTTAAAACTGAATCGGCCGTGAGCGAAGGAAGAAGTAACAGAGTTTTCAATCCGAGACCTAACGTTTCCACAGAGATATACAAATTTACAGTCTGAGGGTGAGACTTAATTAGTGGAGGGGACACGGACACACACGGGGACCGAAAGTCACGCGTCTTGCGTGGAAATCACGACCCGCGCTTGCCAGCGTCCAGCGGCAGCGGAACCTACGCGGGGCAGGGCGCGGAGGGGAAGAGCAGCACCCAGCTCAGCCGACTCCTCTGCGTGGGTCCTGCGAACCAAGCACGCAGCAGCTCCTCCTTTACCGGGGCCGCACCTCGCCAGGCCTTGCCGTGCGCGGCCCTCCCCCCCCAACGGTGTCATGTCTCCCGCTTATCGGCAGCGGGACTTTCCCAAGCCAAGCTCCCCGCCGGGCGTGTGGAGCGGAAGAAGGGGAAACGCGCGGCCGGAGAGGAGCAGTCGGGGGGCGACGGAGCTCCCAGTGTCTGTCCCAAATAAGTACTTTGGGGGCTGGCTGGCAGGGCGGGTAGCTTGTTTTATTTTATTTTCTTTTGTTTTTTTTTCTCTCTCTCCCCCCCCCCCCCTTTTTCTTCCCTTTCCTCTTTTCCGGCTCGGTTATCTGCACATACCGCATGCAAATACACACAAGCTCGATGAGGTGCGGCTGGCGGGACAAGACCCTCGGCGGCAGGGGACGCGCAACAGGTCGGCGGTAGCCCCGGCGCTTCCCGCGGTCCCGTTCGCGGCTCGTCCACCTCCCGGCTGCTCGTATGCACCGGTACCCACCGCCGTGGGCGCCGGGGCTCTGCGCGGGCATCCCCCGGCCGCGGGTCATAGGGCCGCGGCATAGGCTGCAGGGTAAGGGTCCAGCTGGGGCTTGCCCATGCCCGGGAGGAGGATGTAGGCGAGCGGCGGCTGCAGCCCCGGACCGGGCCAAGCGCTGCAGTTGCAGGGGATCATGTAGCCCGGGTTACCGGGCGACGGGTGCGAGTGCGTGTGCCCCCCGGCGGCGGCCGCGGCGGCCGCGGCGGCGGCCGCGGCCCCGTGGAAAGCGCCTGCCCCGCCGGCGCCGGGGTAGCCCAGCGAGGAAGCGTAGGGCAGCCCAGAGCCCGAGGAAGAGGAGGAAGAGGAGATCTCGGCCATTTTGGAGCCCAGGTCCAGGAGGGAGTAGGGGCTGCTGGCGGCGGCCGCGGCGGCAGCAGCTGCAGCAGCGGCGGCCGACTGGGGGAAGAAGACGCGAGCAGCTGCGGCGGCGGCAGCGGCTGCCGCCTTCTCGGGATTGGCAAGCAGCGACTCGGGCACGAGCCCACCAGCCGCGCCGCCGTGCAGCCCGCCCGCCTTCAGTCCGTGCGGGTGCTCGTGGTCCGCCACGCCGCCCAGCCCGTAGGGCACCGGGAAGGCGAACTTGTCCTTCTTAAGCAGCGTCTTGGGCTTCCGCCGGGGCCGGTACTTGTAGTCGGGGTGCTCCTTCATGTGCATGGCCCGAAGCCGCTTGGCCTCGTCGATGAAGGGCCGCTTCTCCGACTCGGTCAGCAGCTTCCACTCGGCGCCCAGGCGCTTACTGATCTCCGAGTTGTGCATCTTGGGGTTCTCCTGGGCCATCTTTCGCCGCTGCGCCCGCGACCACACCATGAAGGCGTTCATCGGTCTCTTGACGTGATCCACTGGCTTGGACATGGTGTCCCCTCCGCCCCGCGCCGGCGGCCCCCTCCTCCGAGCGCCTCTTCCGCCTCCTCCTCCTCCTCCTCGGTCTCGCTGCGCACAGCTCCTCCAGAAACAATCTCGGCAAGTGCCCCGGCACGGCGGTCGCGGATCCGGCGGGTGTGCGGCGGCGGTCCCCGGTGGTCCCGCTGCGGGCGCGGGACACCGCCGAGTGGCAACGGCTCCCCGTCAGGGCACTGCTGCGGGCGGGACGGGCGGCGCTCCCAGCCTGGGCCGCGGAGCCTCTCCCCGCGCCGCCGATCTCCAGGCCAGGGCTCTTCCTTGGTAGCAGCGTCCGGAGTCCCGAGTGGACCTCAGAGAAGTCTCGACGGCGAGGGCGGGAGCCGGCGGCAAGCGAGAGACGCCGGGGTCCGCACTCCTGTGCGAGGGCGGTGCTCCTCGACTGTCGCCGGTACAGCAGCAAGCCCCGGACGGGGCAGCGGTCAGAGCCCGCCCTGTGCCATCGCCGTCCGCGGAGCTCTGGGGACTGCCCGCCGCGGAGTGGTGCGGTGCGGTGCGGGGCAGGGCGGGACTGTGTCCGCGGCGGCTGGGTAGCTGAGGTGAGGCCCCGGGGGTGCGGGCCGCCCCGCTCACAGCCTCCCCGCTCCAGCCGCAGGGGCGCGGCGATCCGCCCGCTCCTCGCACATACTCGCCGGGCGCCGGTCGCAAGCGGCCGCCGGGCTCTGCGGCCTCCTGGTTCCCGCCGGCGGACAAACTTCGCTAAGTTTCGGGCAGGCTGCGGGGCGCTCCGCCTGCCGCGCCGCTCCCCCTTCTCCGGCAGCCGCCAGGTCTCTCTGGGTTTTCTTGGCCGACTCGGAGGGGCGGCGGGGCGGGCGGAGGGAGGAGGAGGCGGTAGAGGCGGTGGCAGCGAGGGGAGGAGGGGGTGTTCCTAATCACAGCACCGGCCGCCCCGCGCCCAGCGGCCCGGTTATAAAGCCGGCGGTGGGGTTCGCGGCGTGCCCCCTCCTCTCGCCCCGTCGGCGCGGCGGCAGGTAACGCGCGCGCTCTGCACGCCCTATATGTTTGCATGCGGCCGGCCCGCGCCGCGCGAAGGGGGCGGGGCATCAGCTCAGGTCGGGGAGTGGCCTCCGCTTGCCACTCCCGCTCCTGAGCGGCAGGGTGGGGCCGGGTGCGGCGCATGCGCATTGAGTCCCCCGCCCCGGCCCGCCTGCAGCCGCTGTCCCGCGCGCTGCCTGGCTCTGGGAGCAGGGAGGGGGTTGGAGCTCTCGGCTGCTGCCACCGGCGTGGGGTGTGGGTCTTTTCGGGTGTTCCCTGCGACGTCCTGGCCGCCCGGGCGAGGGCCTGAGCCCACCGCCCTGGAGAGCAGCCCCGCGGCACCGGGGCGAGCGGCGGAGTGCCGCCCCGACAGGATCCACGCGTGTTTTGCCGGCCCCTGCGCTCCGAGCCGCCCGGCCGTGCTCCTCGCCGGCTGCCTGTCTGTCAGGGCGAACTTGCTCTCCTTGTTTGTGCCTCAGCGGCTCCGTTTTGACTTACCCCTGCGGTATGTGGAAGCACCGACTCCAATAAACCATTAACTCTTCCCGGGCTGATCTCTGCCCGGGACGGCCCCGCCGCTCTCCGGAGCAGTGATTCCCGGGACGATGCACGAATGGAGTGGTAGCCCCTGTCCTTCCCCACCGCGTTCCCCGGTAGCCCCTTCGGCCTGAGTGCTCTCTGAAATGCCGAGCGACTCCTCTGTAAACCGCACCTTCTCCAGCTTCGCTTTTTACGACCCGTTTATTACTACTTAAAAAGTAGTTCTCTCAGTCTCCAGAGCCACCTCGCCAACGTCTGACCTCCTGCAATCCTTTCCGCCTGAAAAAAAAAGGTTCCCATCAGCTGTCAAAAGCGGGGAGATCAAGATATCTACCGGCCTTCAGCTTAGCGGGGAAGCGGCGTTTCCGGCAGTTGGGAGCCCGACCAAGGGGGTCAGAAAAAGGGGCAGGTACCCATGCCCTGGAGGTCAGGTTCCCAGTCCGTCGGGCAGCTATTTCCCTCCTGGGGATGAGCAGCCGGAATTTCCAACTGTGTAAAATCCTCCCCTTCAGTCAGGGAGCGATTACCTATTTCACTCGTTCACATGTAACATGGTTGTGTTTGACTTCCAAGAGGCGAGGACTGACCCCCTGGCTCCCCCTGCGCAGATCGGATACCGACGTGTTCGACTTCCCCACGCATCGTGGGTGCCAGCGAAAAAGGGCTCGGACAAATACTGTTCAGGGAAAGGCGAGAGCGCGGCTCATTCGTCCCCAGCCGCCGCCATGGGCAGGGTGAGAATCAAGAACAAGGGTGTTCGGGGGGGGGGGGGGGGGGAGGGGGAGAAGCAGCAGCTATTCTGTTGCCACCACCGAAGGCACCCGCGACTCTCTCAGGCGCCCGGCCCCTCTCGCCCCAAGGCGGGGGAGAGGGCTTATCCTCCGTGTGGGCTTGGCTTCAGCGAGGGTCTTTGCCCGCTCTCCACGCTGCTCCCCTTACGACCCCTCTCCTCCTGCCCCCCTCTGTGCGAGGGCAAGGTGGGGTGTAGAGGGGACCGTGACGTCCCTGTATCGCGACAGAACAGCGTGAAGCACTCAAGTCGGGCACATGCGTAAGCCCCCGGCTGGCAGTGTCCGCACAGATGGATGAATATACCCACCACGACCCCTCTGCCCATGGGCAAGTCCGTGGGTACCACCGCTCCGAAGCTGCTGCAGCTTGAACCCGCTGCTGGACTGCAGTTCCAGATCTGTACGCCCGTAAATGGCCAAGAAAGTTTCAGGAAGACCGGGCAACACTTCCACGCACGGAACCAGCGTGGGGAAGGGCTGTACGTCGTGGCCAGAGTGTCGGCCCAGGCTCTGGGGAGGTTCGTAGGGTGAATGGTCACCATTTGCCTCGCAATTTCTCGAGGACAGAACGACCACCAACTCCCAAGTCCCCACGGAGTCACGTGCAGGTGAACTGATCTTAAAAAGCACTTGAGTCGCACTCAGCAGAGAAGATGCCTCAACTCATGGACTGCTCTCTTCCAAAAATGTGGCCATTTACGAAACCATGACTTCATCTGCGCATGTTTCTGATTACGTTCAGTCTTCCAAATGGTGAAAACGCTAATAGAATTTATTGGTCGTAAATTATTGTACACGAATTTTTCACAGGCTGAGACCTATAAATGGCTCACGACTGCCTCAAATATATTTTTGTAGTTGAAAATGAAATACTATATTCGAAGGTCTCGTTTCCAAAGCCTCCCGTCCCCGTGCCCCCCCCCCCCCCCCCCCCCCCAACGCCTGAGGTGACCACTGGCTACTAAAATACACGCAGTTATTTCAACGATGCCTGTAGTTAAAGACTGTCTGCTTTCCTCTAGTAAACTGCTTTCGAGAGGGTTTGCACAAAGTGATGGAAATTCTTATTGGCTCCCTTCGGAGCAAGGTTGGACTCGAGTTAGGGGGGACCAGAGAGTCCCAGGTCTCCCATCCTAACCCCGCTTTGAGACAGTCAGTGCAGTGAGGGCGAAGCTGTTCTCCCCGCAGGGAGATCCGTAGCCGCGGTCACACACACAGAGTGTCTCGGTGAGACTTTGAAATCCCCAAACACACAGAAAGGGAAAGCTTTATCGGAGTTTAGCTACTTATCTGGATTTTTGTTAAACCACTGCTGTGATCTCCGCGTAGTTGTGCGAGTGCGTTAATTGTTCTGATAATGTGGTGTTATCGATACAATAACAATACAATCGTGTGTAATGTGATTTACTTGCCTTTGACCTGTCAATTCTTGACGAATGCAAATTGAAGGGCGCAATCTTTCTTTCTGCTATCAGGGGAAAAAAACCCAAACGAGGAGATGCATTATCACACGGAGGCTAAACAAGTATTTCCAGAATGCAGTGCTGTATTCCACCAAGAGAGATCAAAGCCGTTTTAAAAATATTTAAGGGGATTTAGCCTGTCTTCTCGATACCCATATGTTAATTCTGCCAGGACGCTTACACCCACCGTAAGCAATTGTGTTCCACTTCAAATATTGACCAGTTTCTCCTATTGTGATCCGACAGCACCTCATCTCTGGTGTAGGCAACTTTAGGATGCTGCTCGTATTTTCAAAGCCGAGCTTAAAGTGAGTTTAGAGGAATAAAGAGCCTTTTCTCCTCCTTTTTAGTTTAGGTGGCAAATCAAAGGGAAGAAAATGTAGGCTCAGGGCAGCGGTTACCCCCAAAACCTGACTCACGGACTCGACAGAGCCGGCTTTTACCTGCATTTTCAGAGCCACCTCACCTTCTACACAGCTCTCTTTGGGCTCAGAAGCTTTCCCAGACTTTGGAAGCTGATAGTTTTCTTCCTGTGAGGTGAGGTATCAACCACTAACTCCACAATCGCTTTCAGCTGTCCAAAGCGGCCGGGCACGCTAGGGTCTTACACACACTGGGTAGTAAACAGGCTAACTTTTCCGCTCGTGTGGAGTTTGGCAGGTTTGTGAGCGCTCCTAAGTCTTCTCTGTCTTGCAAAATCGGGTACACCTGTACTGCAAGAGGGAGTTTTACCCTATGAGTTCCTTATTGTGCACAGTACCCAAACTTCATTCATTTGCTTTTACAGAGTGCTTTCAAATGTTCGGTATTATTATTTTTCAATAACATTTGCTTATTATTAGAGCAGCTGGTAGCCCAAGCTCTAGTGAAGTGCCTGGCAAAGGATTCTATCGTAAAACACTGGTTTCTAAGTTTATAGTTTCTAATTTGGCTGTGAAAGTGTGATTCTGGATGGAACTTGGCACTCAAAAGCTCAGCTGGAGAGTAAACTTCTTATAATAAAAACATTGGTTTATTGGGTTTGCTATTTTAAGTTAAAAGAGAATTAACAAAGTTTTTACTAGTTTGGGAAGCATAGAGAAGTCCTGTACGTTTTTGAAAATGAAATGTTATGATTTCTGTAAGGGTAGAATATATTCTGCTTTTTAATTTGCTATTTAATGTGCTATTATTTTAAAACCAAACCCAGTCTTTGTTCCTGTG